GATTTATTTATGATTTGATCAAGATTTGTTAAGATTTAATTAGGATTTATTTTTAATTTTTTAGAATTTCTTACAGTTTTTTATGTTTTTATTTAGAAACTTTATACGATTTTTTTAAGATTCTTTTAAGATTTGATTTGGATTTATATAGGATTATTAAGGTTCAATAAGAATTTATTTAAGATTTTAATAGAGTTTTAAGGTTCTCAATTAGTTGCAAAATATAATTTATATTTTATAACTAAGTATCCAATGCATTCTCAAAGAAGACAACATATAATATGACACCATATAATATCCAAGATTAATGAATGAATTTCATTTTTTAAAATAAAAATATTTGAAATATTTTTTTAAGACTTACTATATTTTACATGTCTATTTTTAAATCTTAGAATCATTTAAAAAAATTGAAGGAGATTTTGTTATCCAATATTAATCATGCTTTTCTTTGTTGGTATCTTTATATGGTTGTGTTTGTTGCATTTTGTTTTAATTAATATTTTTGAAAGAGAAGGTCCTAAACACAAAAGACTTAATCATCTATCTAGCCAAAAGAATATTTAATATATTTTTATGGTCAATTAAATTAAATCTCTCATCTTATATATATATGAGTTTAATTTTTTTTATAAAAATATTTTTTATATGGATGTCTTTATCTATCCAAAAAAAGATTCAATCAAAAGTTTAAGAAATAATATATTTTTATTATATTATTTTATAAGCTAATAATATAGACAATGAGAAAGTGACTTGTTACTTTTAGTTTTTTCAAGTGTTCATATATTTTCTTTTTTCGCACATACTATATAAAAAAAGTAGTTGATAGAAGAAGTGTCTAAGATCAATCCAAAGAATATTAACACCAGATTTATAAAATTGATTTGAAGAACAAAGACCTTACAAAAGCAATATGCAAGATGTCAAAATTTGCCATGGTTACAAAATAGTAAAACTATTGGGCAAAACACATTATCAAAAATACAAGGTGCTTCAAAAAAATCGCAAGAGTTGTTTAACATGAATTTAGAGAATTAACATAAAAATAAAATATAATAAAATAAAGGAGAAACAAATCATGATGCTATGTATTGTGACAAAGCTGATGCTCTAAAACATCAGGCATTGGAGGTTAGAATTTAGCACAGAAAAAAGAAAGAAAAAAATGAAAAAAATAATAAAACACATCACAAACAATTTGTGAAACTTGAACATCTACGTTTGTAGGAGTAAAAGAATAGGAGATTATGGTAATTGCACAAATTGAGGAAACAAACAAACATTGTTGCTATAAAGAAGATATGATCGGTAGAGGTACAAGGCTTCCACAATAGTGATGAAACAAATATTGGAAGTTGAGCAAAAGTGGAAGAAAGAATCAATCGCTCCCAAATGGAAGGAGAAGACAACACCCAACTTCCATAAATGCTTCACTGTTTCCCACTCCAAACCCGATGCCGCCTCCCACCCGTCATTTCGCTCATTCAGACCTCGTTGATATGCATTCCTCGAAGGTAGGCCAGCTTTTGTAGGTTACCTTTCGTTGCTGCACATACAGAATAACCACTGGAAATATTGGCCTCGTTGTGAGTATTGAACATGTTGCATTTGATGCTCTGCACCTTGGGGTTGATGTCTAACTACCATATGCAGGATATCAGAGCGCGGATAATGAGACCACCTTCAGCACCAATTCCTCTAGCAAAGACACGATTCCACAACAGAGGTGAGATGATATTCCACAGGCGACATCACATGTTTTGCAATTCAATGTTTTTCTGCTCTTCCTGAGGATAATAAACTCCTGTGCAAGATAAGCTCCACAAATGATGTGTGCTTATAGCTGATTCAGCTGAGATGTCAAGAGCCGCAGTTAAGCTTCTCAAGGATGGAATGCTGTAACCGAACTCCACTACATGTTTAACGATGACCATGTTCCAACTCCAAGCCCAGCGTCTTCTCTTTCTTCCTTCTGCAAGCAGGGACAGTATTGTACGTGATCGCACGTTTTTCCAGAAAATCCACCCAACTGCTTCGCACAAAAACCTTGCAGCGCCTCATAACCATATTGCTGCCACGAACTACATATTCGTGGCAAGCTCAAGATGATTTCGCATCGACAAGACTTACAAGCTCTAGAAACTCAGAGGAGTGACGGCCCAGATTTGAACTCGAAATGGGTTGGGGCCATGGCTTTGTCATCGCAGAGAAACTGTTGTGCGGACTTCAGTTGGTAACTATCTTTATTCACAAGGATGTGAGCCGTAACGTCGCGAACTTTTCTTTTTCTCATCTGTACTCCATGCCCGCAATATCCCACTTCTCTAACCCACTTTGTTTTAAAATAACCTTTCAAATCGCGAAAACGCCATCAACTTCGCCTCTGGCATGCCTCATCCAACTTGCTGTGCACATGTTACAGCTCTCGCTTGGCCTGTGCCACACCAGATAACAAGTCACACTTCATTGTAAATCGTGCACCGAAGGTTTAAGAAGTACTAAGAGCTGAGTGTGATTACAACTGCAGCAGGGAACAAAGCATCACAATTGTCGTTCACTACCTTTGCTCGTCATCTGTTTGTGTATGCCTGCCAATTCTTCTGCAAACCAGCAACACTGCAATGAAAAGGAAGCCGAGAGAAAAACAAACAAACAAACAAACAAACAAACAAGCGAGACAAGCGAGACAATCAATGGGTAGAAGTATTGATTAAACTTCTTCAAATCCCCGACAGACAAAATTAAGCCTCCTCATGATAAATGTGGAATTGAGTCAACTCTTCCAATATGATGTAAATTACATAAGACGGCGGTCAATACGAATGAGGAGCTCAAATAAGCCAAAAGTAACTCACAGAGAACACAAGTCTTTTAGTCGTAGTAGTCTAGTAATAATCCACAAAATGGTACAATTGTCACCAGCACAATGACAGCATAGGCCGGATGAATATCACAACCTATTCTTTCAACTGAAAAGCATTTGATACCACATGAGCCTTGCTGTAGCGCACCGGTCTTTAATGTACATACCCAGGAGCCACACAGCCATAATTGTGTGCATATTATTATTTCCTTCACAATGGTCCCTCGTTTAACAAAGGTTTAGCCTATCTGCCCACCACAGGAGCTAAATCGAATAAAAATAGAAGACAGAATCACTAATTTGCGCTTCAAGTGCCCTGCTACATCCCTTGGCAGAAGTATGTCATGTAATACAACCAAAAGTTTTCGTTCTTAAAGCTATCCATGAAAAACCAGACCTCCGAATTTCACGTCTTATCATGAAGTGCCGTAGCTTGTATCTACCAAGCTTGCCATTGTCAAAACAACTCATCGAGACGCCACCATTACTCAGTAACTGTCGCAGCGATGACAAAGAATAATGTGACTACAAAGAAAAAAGATTGCTAAACAATTAAGGTGAAAACCTACAATATATACAGGTCGCCAGCTACGAACAGCACCTAGAAGTAGGTGGCGTATTTGCAGTTTCTTTGTCAGCAATGACAACACTCTTTCGTCGCGGACCACTGGCAGGGTTATCGATACCCTCCGCGGCTCTTTGTTGCATCACACGACGAGCTATGTCCATGAAGGTCTCCTCAATGCCAGCGTTAAGTTTTGCAGAAGTTACAAAGTGAGTTGCCCCTATTGACTCTGCATACATCTCAGCGTCCTGCATGTTCCCGTGCAACGACTTAGCCATGTCGCTCTTATTGCCAGCGATTGACAACACGATATTTTTGGAAGCCATCTTCTTCAGCTCTCGCACCCAACTTTGAACACGGTCGAAACTGTCTTTGTCCAGCAAGTCATACACCAATAGCGCTGCATCAGCATCACGGTAGTAGATAGGACCAAGTGCATGGAATCGCTCCTGCCCAGCTGTATCCCAAATGCAAAGACTGACAACTTGTCCATCCACAGTCAAGCGCTTCGTTAAGAACGAAGCCTGAATTGTAGCCATTTGCTTCTCAGAGAACACATTGTGAACATATCGCAGCGCGAGAGATGTCTTTCCTACACGCCCATCGCCCAGGATCACAAGCCCAGCCCCCACCTAGCTCCCAGCCGCACCCGCACCCGCATCCAGCTTGCTCCCCCGTCCATCCCATCTCGACCTTGCCAACTCATCACACGCGATGCACTCGCGCCCCCCAAATCTCTCTACCCACACTCCAAAACTCTTCTCCCCGCATCCCAGCAAACGTCACCACGCCACCAAAATCTGCATCATCCCAGTTGCAACCGCCTCGCACTACCTCATGCTCTCCGCTGTGTTTGGGGATGCTCTTGCACATTGTGTTCACCTGCATGACACATCCCCATCTTGGCATTCAGCAAAGCTACAGCATCGTAGATGAATAGTCCGTTAGATATAGTTAATAGCATTGTCTAGTTCAATACTATCATTTAATAATATTGTCAATGCTCAAGTACTATTATTAGTAAAGAACATATATGTATTTACATGTATATATGTACATATTTAATGACAAATAAACAATTAAATATTAATATTTTTCATAAGAAACATAAAAACTACGTTGTAAAAATTAATATGCTTTCCGATGTAAACCATTTCGATTAAAATATTATATTATATACTCCACATAATCACCCCAGCAGCTGAGTAGTACCTTGTCAAAATATTCCATTGTCATCCCTAATCATTAAAAAGACTTTGTAGGAGTAAAATCATCTTATTATTATGTTTACATCGCACACTATACCGGCAAGTGGGGGTCATTGAGAAGGCATTGTTCATAGTGCAAGGCGCAATAGGGTTACCAGTCATGGATAGGAAGGGAAAATTGAAGGAAAACAATTCAACTACTTAAAAATAAGATGGTTGCTTGGAACGTGTGACGAAACAGAAAGTTTGTATGCTTTCTGCGGCAAGATTTCGAAACATGCGACGCCAGTTCAGATAACTGGAGAGGTAAGACGGAAGATTTGGAACCTTTCAAAGCCACTTCTCCATCATCACAAGCTGATGAACCCCAAATACAAGAAACTGACTGCCGATGCAAGAGAACATAGTGGAATTAGCAAGAAATAGACCGTGTCAGGATGGTCTCTAGAATGTATTTTGAACCTGACGGGAGTGCGCCAAATTCACACCTTTCTAAGCATCCTGTGGTGTTCCTTACCCGACCCCTGAAACTAAGACCTCTTGCTTTCGTTACCCCTTCTCACAATCTGTGGTTGGCGGCGGTCGCAGGTAAAAAAAATCCTGGACGAGCATGAAAAGCCAGCTACCCAAATGTGATGCTAAGTAATGCTGCTTAATTCTAATCTATCCTGATTCATTATGAACACCTTCTCAAGCGGCGCCTTGTTTTCGAAGCTTCTGAGCTTCGGAGCTCCTCATCTAATACGCTAAGCTTTGTCAAATGTTGGTCGCTCTAGAACATGGGTTGGTGCGTCTTATTATGATTGCTTGGGCACATAGGTGATGTCAGCGTGCTCGGTTAACCAGTCCAGAACCTTTGAGCCTTCTAGAAGCTCACGTGCCTGTGCATCACCGCCACAGCATATGCACGATGCCATGTAAAGTCTAGACGCTTTGCAGAATAATGAGACGATAGGGATCGCTCAGACCAAACTTGACAAACTTGACATGGAACATTATCTACCTATTTTTCAAGCTCTTAAATTCAGGTTACTTCAATATCACTGCGAGTCCTCTAGATGGTGGTATGCTTTACCTGTTCCTTAACACGAACCACTTCGTATTCCTGATCAAACCGCTTGAATTCTTCTATGGCGGAATCGACTTCAGCCTGAAGCTCCTCTTCTGATATCTGTTATAAAAATAAGAAATTTACTTAAGTTCTACTTTAAACTTGTGATTTCTATTGCTCAAAAAACAGCTGACCTCATTAGATGAGAGGTCCCGAAGTACTAGTCGTTTGGGTACGTGGAAAGTTCGGGATATATCTTACATGTGTGCAAGGATTGTGAAAATGACCATACGAATGCAAGCAGAATAGTTTACACGCACAATATCACAGTTACCTCTAAATTCTCGAGCTTGTAAATCTCCGCCACAGCAAGGCTCTGCTTCACAGACTCTGTGATCCTTGGCTTCTGGGCGATAAGGTAGTTATGCACCATCTCAGCGCTAGACAGGGCTACTACCTGCTCCTTTGAAAGCTTCATACTTGCCTGCACATTATGAATATATTTAAACAAACATACAGCACACGCTGCCGACGGCCTGTCTTGATTATTGTTAATAATTGCATCAAATGAGATTGTAGAACAGCATCTTAATCAAACATCGGGAGTTGAGGTGAATTGTACAATCAGAAATGCAAGCCAAAGGGAGAACCTGCAATTCGATCAGCTTGGAAGCATACATTTGACGACCTTGCTCCTCCAACAATGAGTTCGGTACGTCGATTTCCGCAACCTAGGCAAAGAGATGATTTTCAGGGCTTCATTAAGTGATATGTTTGAGCTAAGATTGACAACGTAGCCTGGTTTCGCTCACAGAATTTGTCATGAAGTCAATCGCTCTAAAGAGAACAGTTCGCGTCATAAACAAAAAAACTATCTTTTAGTTGCCCTGCAGTTTCTTCCAACAAGAAATCGGGTAGAGATAGCACCTTAGCAAGCTCAGTGGTTATAGCAAACTGTGTTGCTGTTTTCTTAGCTCTCTCAATCAGCTCCGTGTGCTTTCTCAAGAGTGCTTCCTTGATCTGCTCCATTTTATGATCAAAAATTGTGACTTCAGAAAACAGAGCATACTTAATTTGACAAACACATGAGCACGCATTGAAGAATCAGTAACATCACACAGCCAATTATGTGCTGGTGATGATTCTGTGCATCCTCAAGGTCTGGCGATTAGAAGATAAAAGATTCTATTGCCTAATGTACATGTCAGCACTAGAAGGTATTACAACTATAATAAGTGAGGATGTTCGAAAAATGATTCGTTCTAACGAGAAGATGGAAAGTAGTGAAAGAGTTTTCAGAAATTCCAGGTATATTAATGCGAATCAAAGCAGCGGAGCATAGATTTAAATGACACTCAAACAAATAGACATTGGGACTTAATTGAAATCAATTTTGAACAAACTTTCACATACCTCGGCAAGAGACGTGCAATCCTGAAAAAGCTGAGGCGCAAGTTCGTCATTGAGCTCTGGAAGCTGCCGAATGAAAATTTCCCTGCCAACAACCTAAAAAAACATGGCATATTCGTAATATGTTTAAAGCATCGGTGAGTGATAATTAAAAGGAGTATCCTGAAAAAGACTTATTCTACACAAAATGCCGTTCAATCGACGGAAAGTAATACCTATCAGACACGAACTATGGAACGATGGCTTCATGAACCAGGCTAAAAGTCAATCGACCAAGAGAGTAAAAGACCAGGTTAGTTATACGTTGGAAGTGTTTGTAACGAAAACACCTGTCTAAGAAATTTTCAAAGATTTCACAAAGGATTTGTATCAACCGTAAAGCGGGCCTGCAATCCACGAAGAGATTCCTGCTCCCACGTCGGAGGAAAAGTGAGGTCAAAAGACCTAGACTCATCATTCTGGATACCAATCAAGGCTTCTACGAAGCCCGGTAAAAAGCTACCTCCTTCATCTGTGTCAAGCCGGAAACCTACAGTTGCCAACCAAACCGATATATGCATCCTGAAGTTAGCCGTTAACAAGGGGTGGTAAACAGATTCAAGAATCTGCAACATGTTTCTTATTCAATTCATTAAACCTATTAATGGAACAATGCATTAGATAATTAGTGATCAACAATTACGAAATAGGTTTAAATTATTTCACGACTACTTACCTTTCTGCTTGCAGGACAAAATTTCATCACCAGTAGTGCCATCTTCATTCAGTCGCACTGCGGAAACATCAACTACACCAACATCGCCCATCTAATCACAAACAGCACTCTCGTTACATTGAGAACTAATCGGAGGAAGAGGAGGAAATCCCAAATGGGATTCTGTCATCTGGAACGTGCAGTATTGACGTAGCCACACGAATCACGCTTACCTCTAAACCTCTACCTATAACTACTCGAAGGGAACCCAAGTCTTTTAGTCGTGACAGTAGCTCAGCATCAGCTGCTTTTTGAGCGGCCAATGCATCGTCTGCCTCACACTCCACCGTTACTTTGAGGTTCTTGTATCCATTTTCCGGATTCCATTTTATTTCCGGTGCCACATCCACTGCCACATCATAACTTTACCATCGAAATTTCAGTTATATTGCAGGTAGTTTTTGTAGTTGACATGCTATTATGCAAGTATGACCAAGATCACTGCTTCTTACTTCACTTTTTTCTTCCCAGATGAGGTATTTTTCTACAACGTTTACAGAAGTTATTCACCGATGATGCATTATCGCAACAAAGTGGGCCCTGAACTGCATACCTTAAAGGTTTATCTGGGGCAAAACCAGCTGCCAAATCGGCAAATTTTGTGGAAATATGCTCAGAGTCCTTGATTGCTCTCCCGGCGACCTACAGTCAGACAATTGCGTTCCCATTTCATAAATCTATTCATCTCAAGGAGTAGCAGCAACTTAAATCACAATAAATCTTTCACCTCACAACACTCAATCCAAGATATCTGTTTGAATAAGAAACACTAAATGAGGACAAGCATCAGAATGCTACTTCACAATCTCCGGAAATCAGAGTTGATTTTCTAACTCATACAATAACCAAAGAACATGAAATGACTACTAAATAATCGCTTACAAGCTCACAGAAATTTCTATTTTTAGATAAGATAAGGACTTACAGAGGACATTGCTTCTGGAAGTGTGCGCTTGAGCACAGCCTCGACCGCAGAGGAACGTATTTGATCTTGGCCAATGAAATTGATCAGCACATTTTCTGGTATGTTCTTTCCAGGCCGAAAACCCGGAACCTGAGCACCAGGAAAAACCATTCGCATTCAAATGGTTCATTTTACCACTTCTATTTCCAAAGAGATCCTATGTCTAACCCAAAGGCCTCTATCCAATGCTAGAGAATTACCGAAATTCATCTCTGAAATGATCACAAACTACAACTTTGGTCGTCAATGCGCATTCAAAATGAGTAGAAGTCAAGTACGCCATAGCATTATTATTTAAATAGATTCAACCCTCAATCAACCTTCAAAACCTGGGGATAACGTTTCCTGAATACCAAACAAAATTAATGCGGAACACATCAGTTACCTACAAATGGAAGTAAAAAGAGCTCACCTTTGATTGCTTGCCAAATTCTTTCAAAACTTGATCGTAGCAGTCTTTACAAACGCTAACTGGAACGTGTACTTTCAACTGAACCTGCAAGCACATATAGATACTCTTCAGCAATTGAACAGCGTCTCAATGCCGCTTCGAAAACTCAGACCGCCGCCTCCCCGAGAGCTAAGACCAGGGACAGAGGCATTATCTCTAGTACTAAAAATAATTGATACCCATTCTGAATTGCTTCACTACAGGCATACACAACTTAAGACTTCAAACTCAACATCAAGCAATAACAAGAACATTAGCATAAACATAATCTGTGTTGCACGAATCTTCAACAGAAGTGTTCGACAATGTGCGACACTAAGCGAGAAATACTGATAACTATAAATGATGCGAAGGACATGGATAAGTAGAGGAAAAGAGAGTTCTATACCCTGGAGTTGGCAAGGTTAGTCTCAACAACTTCAAGACCCAGCGATGGTGTACCAGACTCCTCCTTCACTGCTACCTCACCGGCTCGCACCACCACAGCTTCACCTCGCCTCCTTCTATGATCCTGTTGAGGATATTTGAACACTGCTACCAAGTTGAATCCATTGCCTGCACCCTGCTGAAACCTTCTCGACTTCTGTATTCGAGAATCTAAAAACTTTAGCTGCAGCGCAGGAGCACACAGATAATTCTCCAGCACCAAAAACTCGTTTCCACGATGCACTTCAAGAACCATGATGTTCGTGATCCACACCTCACGTACCCAAATGCAAAGTGGCTTGTAATGAATAGCTTCATGACACGCTAAAATGTGAAACCAGTGATCCTAACCAAGACGCTTAAACCCAACACTCAACTGCGAAGCTCACCGTCGACAAAGTGGCATACATTCGCAACTATACAAACAGAGAAACCAAGGGAAATGAAGACAAGTATCCCCACATCAAACCAGAAGAAGATTCCAAAACCTCCAGCCTCACACTCTACCACAAGATTATCCTAAACGCCAAATAGAGAAATTCCTTTCTTGGAAATCACAGCATCATTCAAGCGGAGACGCAATGCAGGCAACGAACCTCTCGCCCCAAGTGAAGAAACAAGAGATGGGATAGATACCGTGGCCTACCTTGAGCTCGCTGGAAACACCAGCAGAGGGAGAGGAAAGAGGCAGCACGAAGTGGACGCCGCGAGAGGCCCTGGACAGAGAGGGCGACGACGACGACTTGGTGCAGACGGAAGAGAGCTGGGAAGTGGCAGTGTGAGCATGAGCAACCGCCATGGCCATGGCTGATGCGATGCGATGCGATGCGACGCAGGGAGAGAGAGAGGAGGGATGGCGGTAGAGAGCCTTGAAGAGCCTGGAGGAGGCTGGATCAACAACTCTAAGTTAACTAGAGTGGTGCGGGTGAGGATGAAGAGGCATCGCCCAGCGATGGTCGCGATGGATATGATTCTGGGTTTTGCTAGAGCTGGGGGTTTGTGAGGCAGTCTCTGCGGGCTGTTTGGATAGGGGCAGCCACGTGGTCTCTTGGTGCGTCCGATGTGGAGGGGTTGTGAAAAGCTATGTCAGCTATTTCCAGGTCACGCGAAAGTTTTGACAGCGGGAATCTGAAAATTTAATATTAAATAAAAAGGGAGAGTTGCTGGGGAAAAAGCTAGACCCCTAAAAGTTTGAGTGTTCATGTAGATAAGCAGTTGAATGTCTGTTCACGTCAATATTGTTTTACTTTCAGTGGTGCAAGGAATTTCTGAAATTAAAAAATTAAAAAAATGGAAAAAAAAAAAAAAAAAAAAAAAAAACTAATGTGTGAAACATGACAATAAGACAATGAAAATTTTGGAAGTTGAATTTTATGTTCATTTCAAATATGTTTGACTACTACTTTTAGAAAAGAATAAACATAAAGTACGATAATACTCTTATCAGTAATCACTTCTCTTTTTTTCTTTTTTCTTTTTTCTTTTTACTTTTTTCATTTATCTAAATATATTATTTAAAAATGTGCAATAATACAAAATAAAAGTACCAGATTGAAAATATACAATTAAAGTGCCAATTTCCATACGTACAAACAGATATATGAAGAATAATAAAGCTCATCTTATTACATTAATTACAATGATTAAAGTTGGAATTGATAATGTAAATATAATTGGTAATTTAAAATACAACTTTTATTCAGTTTTCATATTATTCAAAAGTGTTCATCTCATTGAAAACTCTAATGATACTGCATAAAATATGCAATACTTTTCTTTCAGTCGTTGATTACAGACTATGTTATCTCAATGTCATCTTTTATATCAATGTTGATTTTACGTATTGAACCAGTTTTAAGAACAGCACTAAAAGTTCATTGAAAGCATGTTAATCTTCTATTCTGAATTGATAGATTTTATGTTTTGTAGAAATGATTTTACACCACAGAGAACAGCAGGCAAATTTGTCAAGTTTCATTAGCACTAAATGTTTATGATGGGACTTTCAGTTACAACTCAAAGGAAATAAGCAATAAATTTAAATAAAGGAAAAAAATGATATGTCATCAAGTTGTTGTTTAAAATAATTAAATAAACGATTTAATATATTAGTAAAAATAAAAATTATTTATTAGTAATTTGTTTTTATCAAATCCGTATAGTATTATGATTTAAATTCATGTATATACAGCAAAAGAATCATATAATGTTTGTTGCGTGGTCATTTATATATTGCATTACATAAAACCACAAGATGATTTTATAACTGTTAACAACACTCCATCGGTTTCTTAGTTCTGTTTGGAGAACAATCTGTTCACTCTGTTAATTGATTTCTGATTGTAGATGTAGAGATGTACTATATTTTTAATGTCAATTGATGTAAGTGTATGCTGTTTAAGTATTATACTATGCCAACAATGTATAGAAGAGACTTAATGGCATTCATCACATACAAACCTGAGGTACTTTACTCTTAGGAGACATGGTGAGAGGCCTTTGAATGCTTTGATTGGTTGGAACCAAGAAGCCTCCTTAAGTTGGCCTTGTACTTAAAAATCCGAAGGCCTTCAAATGAGATGGAATGCATTTTTTTTTTCTAAAGAACATAAATAGTATTGTTCTATGGAATATTATGTGCTCATTTCAAAGAGGTGTATTTTTTCAATAAAAAAATTACGTTTGGTAATTAAAATATAAATAAAAACAGAAATCATGATTAAACATCCATAAAAAACCAATAAAAATAATATATATATTTGGACTGATATAGAATGACATGATTAGACTTGTAATAATGCTGGTGATCTGAGCTGAGGTGGCTAAATATTACCAACGCTATTCTTGAAGAACAGCCATATAAAACCATAAACCAATCAAGGCAATAACCACTACCATGAATGGTAATCGTAAAGATATGAATGGTAATTGTAAAGATAATACCTTAGTAGCAAGCTTCACTTCAATATAGTTGCAAGCCTCACGCATGGCGAGCTGGCAAAACATGTGAACTCAATTGCTCAGAACGTTGTCAGCATAAGTTCGAAATCTGACACAGAACGTGAGTTTTGCAATGTTGCCTATTCACATTCAAAACTTCTACAAATAGAGTGCCAAAGAGGGCTCTAGAATTTCATGTAGGCATTTTCCATCGATGGTTTTCATAATGCAACCATAGCGTCCATATCATATTTGGAATGCAACGTCTGGTTCACTAGAGCCTTCATCGCGTAGCCCAGCTGCTCTACCTCTATTTTTATCACCTCATCTGTTGCCTAACCAATTCCTGGTGGAGACCTGTTCACGAATACATATCAACTCCTGTTACCCACTGAAACAAACAATCCTATCAAGCCATGAAACAAACTGATCGGTGGAACCCAAGTCTGACAAACTCCAGACAAATCGAGTCGTTGCAGAAACAGCAACCTGCTTCAACCACGACGTTCATAGATAATGCTCTACGAAGACACCATCAAGGTAATCCACTGAAAATTAACTAATCCAAAATAACAAACAGGCACAACTTGAATTTCAGTCGAATAGTACTAAGTCTTTAAATAGGATACAATCAAGCTATTCAGTTTCGGAAGTGGGCAAACCCTCCGCGACAACATCAAATGATCTCAACAATGCAGAAAATTTGGATAAAAACAATACGAACAGTGCAACAACCTTGAATAATGCCATGTACAAAAACCGTTATTGAAAAAGAAATAAATCAATCGTGATCGTTTTTCGAAGTGAATCAAAGGTGCTGTTAAAGCCCTGAAAAACTGTCTACTTTCGGTACACTTTTAATCAAAACGATGAGACGCAGCCAATCAGAGAGAGTTTATACCGTTGGTTCATCTACCCATAGGTGTTTCATATGAGAGATGCTAGTGCTTTATAATGTTCTCAGACTTGCAATAAAATACAACTTATACATTTAGACGTAATAAAATGTAAACTGAATAATATATGAAAGTAAACAAGATTAGGATATGTGAGAAATCATAAAATTAAAACAAATAAGAATAATAATTATAATAATCATGGTTGTAACACACCAACAAGTGCATCAAGCAGAAGAAAATTGGTCGCTACACAATTGCTAGAACCACATCCAGCCATATGCTGCCCTCGTCACACAAATCTCAGACTTTACAAAGCACTGATATTATTGAGTTCAGTCTCGAGTCATGTAACTCCATGATCCAATTCTATCCAAGAAAATCGCGAAGAAACACCACTGCAGTGACGCATAGCATGACCCCATAACACTATCTAATTATTTCATTTCAGAACTTAAAACCTCGAAAGCCTCTCTAACACGGAGATGCCTCTACGAGTGCATGAGTCGTACGCACTGACATCAAAAGAAAGTCCAAAAGACACACAAATCACAACACACCCGGAACTGGGAGGACCGATCCGACGAGACCCATCAAATAATCCAACACCTTCCCAATCCTCTACACCGTTGTAGGGTTGAAAATCACACATGGATGAAGAGCCTCCTCAATGTTTCCGCATTTCTGCACATTAAAAACTGGAGGGTGCAACATCATCGCTTCGCTAGAATCGTGACTAACAGCAAAAACCACAAGAGACAATACTTGCTACCAACACTGTAGTCATCCTAACGACACATAGCTACTTCTATGACTAAAGTAAGCCAAAAGCACCACAGAGATTAGAACCACGGCCATCGTTTACTAAGTCGTCCACATCTTCTTACAAAGTGGTAACGGATACAAGTTGTTCATCATTCCTCTCAGCCATTCAAAAACAACCACAATGTATTTTCAAATGTAGGTCGCATGGTCTGTCCCAGAGGGTCATAGCAGCGACGCAGCTCCCCAGGGCAATGGAATATGCCACCTTACTATAACGGAGTACGCTCTGCATCAACGAAGATGAAAACCTACATCGCGTGGTAAGATGTTTCTCTGACGTTCACAAAGGGCTCTACGACCACAAACGCATCAAGTAGATGCAAATGGTCGCTCCATAATTGTTAGGCCAACACCGCGCCAAGAGTGCTGGCCCCGTCATCCAGGGCACACATGCCATGTAAACCTGCTCAGCTTCAGGATTCAAGCACAGAACGCCCAACTCTCCTTAATCTATTCAATCCTAACGCAAAACGACAGAAAGAGGCCGAGGCCGGGATAGATACCCCAAATCCTAAAACCTAAAGCCAACTACACCAGTGTAGAGGTCAGAACCACAACCGTGTTTACAACTTCGTCCACACGTCTTCTTTCAGAGTGGTAACGGATATGTATTGATTATTATTTCTCTTGCATTTGAGTTATCTACAGTATGAGTTTAACTGTAGGTCGCATGGTCTGTCCCAAAGGGTTACGGCAGCAATACTGCTCCCCAGGGCAACGGAATATGCCACCTCACTATCATGGAGTACATCTTGCATCAACAGTGATGCAGACCTACGTCACAAAACAGCATCTGTCTTCGACGTTAACAAAGGACTCTACGACCAGAAGCGCATCAAGCCGATTCAAATGGTCGCCCCATGGTTGTTAAGACAACACCCCGCCAAGAGTGCTACCCCCGTCACCAAGCTTCAACCTACAAGCTATCAATCAGACCAGGTTTTCATCACAGACGAGATCAGAACCACAGCCATGGTTTACAACTTCGTCCACACATCTTCTATCAGAGTGGTGACGGATATGTTTCTCGTCATTTCTCTCAGCCATTCAAGACAACTACGTATGCGTTCACATGGAGGTCGCATGGTCTGTCCCAGCGGGTTACGGCAGCGATGCTGCTCCCGAGGGCAATGGAATATGCCACCTCACTATCATGGAGCAACCAACCTCACACAACAGCGTCTGTCTTCGACGTTAACAAGGGACTCTACGACCAGAAGCACATCATGTAGATGTAAATGGTCGCTCCGTAATTGTTAGGTCAACACCCCGCCAAGAGTGCTTACCGCGTCGTCTAACTTCCACCGTGAGATG